AAAATAATAATTAAAGTAATGTTGGTTGATATTTAGTTAAATGGATTTTGATTAGGACACCGAAAGAAGTCATCAAGCTTAAATACAACATCCGTTTATAGTTTTAATGGAAATTGGTCATGTTAACTAATAGCTAGATTTACTAAAAGAAGGTTTATGATATTGTTCTATGATCCTTTGCTTCCTTCCTCACAAAAAAAAAAAAAGTACTTTGTGCACTTTATTGTTTCATGATTATTCCATCCTCTAGATGCTTCAAATTTTCTTTTAATCATAATATATATGTATGATAAATACGAGTGAAGACTAAGTAATTCATGCCCCCTTTTTTTTTCCTAATGAACTCAAGGTAATTCATGCCTTTGTTTGTGGGCCATCAATAGAAGGTGAATTGTCTCAATCCCCCTAAAAAGAAAGGTAAAGTCTTTCGTTTGGGGGGTTGCATTTATTTGATAGTATCTCCAAATGATGTCTGTAGGGTTTGTATCATGTCAAATTCATGTCTAGAATGGCTTTCACAACATGCTTAGCTTGTTTCAAGCGTAATTTGTGACGGTAAATTAGGGAGATATTCTTAGCTTTTTCATGGTTTTAACCCTGATGCTACCTAAAGAATAAAGATTTTGAAGTAGTGACAACGAACTAATTAAGATAATTTAAATGATATCTATTTTCTCATTAAAAAAAAAAAAAAAAAAAAAACTAAACTCTTGTTACCGTTAGTGTTTTTAGATTAATTTCTGTATAATTTAGAATTAGTTTTATCTAAGAATATGCATTTTAATCTTAAAAATTTAATTTCTTTAAATATATTTAGTTGACACAAGATTTAAGATCACTAAAAAAAATGATTTTGAAGCTGGTATAAGTTGACTAAGAAACCTTTTAGTTGTCAAAATAATAATAATAATACAGAAATTAAAAACATTTTCCATTTTTTATTTTTAGATGGTCATAACTAAAAAATGCTTTAATTGACTGAATTATATAAGTTAGGTGGCTCGATTGTCAAAATGTGAATAGATTGAGAGGCTAGTTTGCCCAAAACTTTAAATTATTTTGGGCCCAGTGTGAACCCAGACGCGGATCACACCTAAGATATATAATGGTTTTGTTTAAACCGTGCATTAATTTTATTTTTTAAAGATTCCGTTTAGTTGGGTTATAATTTTAAGTTTTTTTATTTTAATTTTTATAAATTTTATAATTTTAATTAAAATTTTTTTATCTATCTTTACATGTTTTTATAATATATTATTATAATTATAAAAGAAATAATGATCAAAATAATTTTAATTTTATTGAACAAGTAAATATTTTTAGTTACTAATTTTAAATTTTGTCTTAAAAAATTTTTTTGTTTTTAATTTTTATTTCAATTTCTAATAGATGAAAAATTTATAAAAATAAAAATAAAAAACTCAAAACCACAACTATATTAAACAAAATTTAATTACTTTCTTTGTTCAATTTTAATAGATCTAATTTCTAATTTAGAGCAATCAAATTTAATTATTCACTTTTGCTTTTTAAGATGTTATTTAATATATTTATTCATATTTTATCTTTATTTTAAAATGATAATTATAGTATATATTAAATAAGAAGTCTTATTTATATAGTACTTAATTAAGAATAAATATAAACTTTTATCAATAAATTATTATATCATTATTTTATTAAATAAAAAATATAAAGGGGTAATTTTATTTTCATCACTAATGACACATACATAATTTTAATTAAAAATTGATAAAATTAAAATTAATTTTTGTTTTTTTAATAATTATTCATTCAAATCTAATTTAATTGTTTTACCTTTTAAATAGGAATAATTTGATTTAGTTGTGTCATTTTCTATTTTAATAAAGTATTAAATGCTAGTATTTTAGTTTTAGTTTTATTTTGAGAAAGATAAAATGAGTTAGTAGGTTTTTTAGTTTAATTATAATGAATAATGAAAAATGAGGTGAAAATTTTGAGACTAATGAGATATCATAAACCATAGTTATTTTTATTAGATAAGACTCATAATATTATATATATCATCTCACTTAATAATATGATTTATACCATATTATTACTCTCAAAAATTTTTTTTTTATCTTAGTTCTAAATAGAAGGCAATTATTTTTCATCACTTATCTTATTTCACATGTATATCATGCGACTCGAACTTAAGACATTTTATTTCCAACGAAATGATATAACTATCAAGTTATTTAGATCGTAATCTATTACTCCCAAATTTTCATTCTTACTTTTAGTCATTTTTATTACTACTCAATTACAAGTAGGAATAAAAATTAAAAAATAAGTCTTAATTATTATAATAAATAATTTTTTTAATAACTATAAATAAATAAAATTAAATAACAAAATTAAATAAAAAATATTTAAAAAATACAATTAATATTTATTAACACATGCTCTTAAGCACATGTTAGAATACCCACCACAAATAATGGAGATGACCTACTTCAGCGTTCGGCCATCACTCTTGAGCGGTCCCACAAATTATCACATTTCCGCCATCACGATAGTCTGACTTGTGATATTTGCGCATTCGTGCTTATCATTAGAGGTGTTTCCACATTCCTCACTTTACTTATCTTATATTATACTCTCCACCCGCCACCTATCTCTTTAATTCCTTCCTGCTGCTCTCTCCTCTGCATCTCTGCTACGAACTTGATTGGATTCATTCAGATCCCCTGTGCTGTGTCTTCATTCTTCACTGCTCGGGACAGCCAACCCAAATGTATATGGATATCTCCACCTTAGAAGACTGGTATTTCTCTCTTCCTTTGTCTTGTGTTCTTACACATGGGTATTGTTTTTGGGAAGATGGTGTTTTGCTTTGCTATTGAAATAGAGAGATGCTCTGCTCAGAAAAGAGAATGGTAGCATTAGCAAGTTTGTCGGGTCGTTTGCAATTTTTGAGAAATTTCTTGAACTGGTATACTTTTTTGAGCAAAGTAGTGGTGACTATGTTTCAGCCTAAATAATAGTAAAAAGGAAAGTTCTTTGGAGGAATTCAAGACAGTGATCTTTCTAATTTTGGGCAAATTAATTATCAAAATATAAAAGCTATCCCACCTTCTCTCTTTCTTTCTTTCTTCCTCCCCTTTTCGTCTTTTAAGCTGCATTATATATATATCCTTAAGGAGAAGAAAAAGATGAGTATCTCTTTGGCTTCTCTCCCTTGATTGTAAGCAAAGTTGTCTCGAAGTTAGTTAAGTTACACACAGAAACTCAGATTGCCACATGGATGATAATGGCAAAACGAGTTTCTTTGCCTGACAAATGGGCATGATATTTCCTAGGGGATGAATACGTGCACTGGGGTTCTTCTCTCTGCCAACGTGGACAAATGGAAGAAGGCGACGTCGTGCGTAGAAGTGCTTTGATCAATAGTTGACAAGTGGCCTTGTAAGGATGTAATTATGAAACACATGGCATATAATGAATCAGAACAAGGGGGATAGATTTGTAGATTGGTTCTATAAATTGAGGCTCCATAATGATGATTTTTGTTTTAGTTTTGGTTGTTAAAAACTTAGACTGAACAAGGCGTCGGTTACATATTTTTTAATTTAGCCTCTAGTTGTTAGTTTTGATTCAGGTGGTGGTATTGCAGACAATGTTGACCCCCCATTACTTGTTGAATAAAATATATTTTAAGGATTAGCTTGAAACGTATTTAAATTTTTAAAGCATCTAAAAAAATGGTATGTGCTGGGGGATTTTATCCAGATGTGTTGATTTTGTGTTTATCAAAAGAGTTTTCAAAATAAGCTCTATATATATGTGTGTGTTTTTTTGCTAAAGAAAGAGCAAACACACTATGCCCATTTTTATATTCAGAGTCAAATTTGAGGAACCCTCTCTCTGGCACACTGGTGGAACAGAAGGATGAAAGTGTTGAACCATGGAATAGGTGCAGCACAGCTTGTACCAGGTCCACTCCTTTGTTACATGGTTCTCTCAATCTTGGCTTTTCGTCCCACCAGGCATGCCAAAAAGAGAGCTTTTAATGCATGGAAGATTTTGGGGCATTTCACATCTGAATAATTCTGACCTGATGTTTGTTTTAATGCCTCAATGATGATTATTATTTATTTATTTATTTATTTATTTGGATTTTGGTGCTAGGTATCTTGATTCTTGCAGAAGGCATAAGGTTCAAGCAAACTCTGCTGTATTATCATGGTTTTTGAAGGTCAGCTTCTTCCAATCTCTCAACATGGCCTGTATGTGATGCTGCTGTCTTTTTCCTCCTGTTATCTCTATGTTTGTGTGTGTGTGTTTATTTTCTAAATAATATAAATATTAGTTATTGGCATATTGTAGCTTTGTATTATTATTATTTTTTTAAATTTTTTTCCTGCCCCTTTACCTATTTGGTGCTTGGCATGCCATCATGTCGTTTTAAGCCAAGTATTGAGCTGATAAAATTGATTGCTAGTTTCTTCCCCTTTTCAAAACAAGATGGGTTAAGGTTGTTCAGCGTTGCTGCAGATTGGCAGGGATTCTATGGTTTACCGTGTAGTTGTGGTCATGAGACCTAAGTATGTTCTACTGAAATATATGCAGCAATCTCATTTAGGTATAATAGAGTGCCTCTGCAAACAATATTTTTGCTGAACATCCTCTTTTGCCTTAAGATTAAGGATTGTTTACTTTTTGTGCTGCCATTTCTTTCGTTCCCTTGTAAATAAATCTGTCAATAATTCTAGCTGTTTCCTGTTATCTTTTCAGGCCAAGATTCAAAAGTCTTGTCAAAAGACATCAAACATTGTGATTTTGTTAGATCAGCTGAAGGATACAGATATTCCTCCATTAATTGATGTATTTCAAGCTATTGACGCCTCTGACATTGATGTTGTTGACATAATTCAAGAATCACCTTCTATCTTGAATGAAGACTACCTTTTGTCACTGATGAATGCAGTCAAACTAAAACTTCGAGTTGTTGATCTCAGGAACACCTCACTGACAAAGGACTTTTTAAGGTCTATTAAACTGTTATCCATTGCATAATACTTGAATCTATATGTTTCTTTGTTGTTTTCTGCTTCACCACTCTATTGCCCCTGCCTAAGATTTCTTAAAACTTGAGGCAATAAGGCTTGCAGCAGCTGGCTGAAGCTTCCAAGCAGGAATCTTGACTTGTAGAGGTATCTAACATTTGGAGAATATTTTAACTTCATTGTTTTCGGATTCTACAGGGATCTCTGTCATGGTGGCTTGTCTTGCCAAGTGTTAAACTTGCGGTCAACTCACATCCAAAAACTGAACATGGTTGGATGCTTCAAGCAATTACAAACCTTAAATTTGGATTTCTGTACTTCACTTACTAGTCTGGAAAAGGACTGCTTTTCTTGCATGCCGAATCTGATGTGTCTCTCCATGTGTGAGACAAGAGTTGCTAATCTCTGGATGACAACTGCATCTCTGTCAAAACTTCCTTCTTTGGTTGAACTCCGTTTCCAGAATTGTTTGTGCTGCAAGGGTACTGGGCCATGCTGTGGATCAACTGGTGAAAATGAAAATCTTGCAGGTGAGAGATCTGGTTCAGCTGCACTGCATATTTGTTCATACCGCGAGGAACAATCTACAGATGAGCCAGGCCCCGGCCTACATTCTGTCAAAGAGTCATCTATGCTACTTAGCAGTAAGACTGATGCATCAGATGCTGATAAACTTTCAGGAGACCTGCAAAGAATTGGTTCATCAGAGGTATCTTTCACTTTCAGAGTCTTTCAAAATGGCATAAGACAAGACAATATACTAGTCTGGTTGATACTTAGGTGACTAGAAAATTTTGCATTTCAGTTTGTCTAGCAAGTAATATGAAACTTCTTTTGAATGTCATTTCCAGGACAAAAATGACCACCCTAAGAGTGTGCAGAATTTGATGGATGTCACCTTTGCAGGATCATTGAACAAATATATGTGGCGCCATCCTTCACCAATATGCTTTGAGAAACATTACAGAGAGTACATAGTTGCTTCCCTGCCTCTTTTAGAAGTATTAGATAATATGTCTATTAAAAAGAGTGAGAGAGAAACCGCAAAGGCTATATACTCAAAATACTATGAATACTTACCATATAAACACAAGCGCAAAAAAAGTGTCATTAAGATCTTGCAAGATCGTGAAGTGGGAGCAGCTGGCCTTTACCAGAAAGACCCTTCAAAGCTAAGGCAGCCACATTCTTATGGAAAGAGTCAAACTTTCTTCTCAAGGTCTCTAAGTGCTGCCAAACTTGGATCTTCTGCATGGCCCCTCTTACATCCAGTGGCCAATTTTGGCTACATATATAAAGGAGAAAGTAAGAGGCTTCGTCCAAGGCAGTTTGAGTACCACCCTTCTGATTGTAGCCTTATGGCTTTTGGAACTTTGGATGGTGAAATAGTCATTCTTAACCACGAAAATGGAAATATTGTTGGTTATATCCCATCAACAGGAGCAATGAACAGTGTGCTGGGTCTTTGTTGGCTTAATAAATATCCATCCAAGGTATCATCCTAACACACTTTGTTATCTTTGCCAAAGAAAACATAATTGCATTTGCAGCCTCCTTTGCTATCATTTGTAGATTTATTTTTCGTAGCACTTATCTTCTGCACCACGGTAACGTAAAAGCCAATACATGGGTTTGGCAATATATTTAGAGTTTTTTCTGGGCATGCAATAGGATGCTTTAACAAGTCCTCCACGAAATGGGAATTTCGATTTTTCTTTAACTTAGAATATTCTAAAACTAGATAATTAATAGTCATCAAAATAACATTGATCTATTACTGCTCCATGTTTCTCCTTGTGACTTTTGCAACTACTGATGATTTGTGCTGTGTTGAACATTCAGCTTCTGTCTGGTTCTGATAATGGTCTATTGAAATTGTTTGATATTAATCATTCCCTGCTGAAAGTTGGAGACACATGTTGCAATTCAGATACAACTTATGAAGATTTTGAACAATTGACGTCTGTTCATGTCAATTCAACTGATGATCAGTTCCTTGTAAGTGGGTACTCAAAAGGAGTTGCACTATATGACATTGGCACTGGAAAACGTTTACAAGTGTTCACCAATATGCATCAGGACCCCATTAACGTTGCTAAATTTGCCCACCATTCTCCCTTTATGTTTGCTACTTCATCATTTGACAATACTGTGAAAATGTGGGATTTGAGACACAGACCATTACAGCCTTGCTATACGGCTTCAAGCACCAGAGGAAATGTCATGGTTTGCTTTTCACCTGATGATCTCTATCTCCTTGTATCTTCTATAGATAATGAGGTAAAGAGATCCACCTCAACCTTGGTTAGGAATTATGATTATTTCTGGGAGCATGGCTTCCACAATGCTTAGAATGGGATCGACTTAGTGTTTTCTTGCCTTAAAGAATTAAACATTTAACATTCTGAGTTCTCTATTTCCGTTTTGTGAGTTCTAGTGGAGTTGATGTTTCTTTAACGGGCAATATCCATATCAGGTCAAGCAACTTTTGGCAGTAGACGGGAGGCTCCACACAAGCTTTGACATAGCATCAACAGGGAGTTCTCAGAACTATACTCGTTCATATTATATGAATGGGAGGGACTATATCATCAGTGGTAGTTGTGATGAACATTTAGTTCGAATCTGCTGTGCCCAGACTGGAAGACGGCTAAGGGATGTCTACATGGAGGTACATTCTTGGATGAGATTTGGCAGTTCAGGTCTAAAAGCATATTTCCAACACCAGTCTTTACAAACACTCATATATTTCTTGTTCATTTTTCTAGGATAGAGAGTTGGGAAACTCTTTGTTTGTACAGTCCTTAAGGGGTGATCCTTTCAGGGTAAGTTGTTTTCTCTCTTCCTTGTCTTATAAGATGTAAAGCTACTCCTTTGTCAGTAAATTTTCCAATCTAACACAGTCTCTAAAGACCAGAATGCATTCTCTACAAATCTTCATTAATCAGACATCAGTTTGCTTCATAATTCTGCACTATATACTGTCCCTCGGTGAAACATCATCTGAACACAAGTCCCTGTGTTTTCGATGCAGTATTTCCACTTCAGTGTATTGGCAGCCTCAATGCGTCCCACAGCAAAGCAGCAGATCATCAAGGTAAAGAACTTATGCCTATTTCTCTGAGTAACGGACTGTGCTTATAAATTCATCTGCACATTTCTGAGACCCGGTTAACTCCATCTGCAGGTCAATCTACTTGCTTCAAGTCACCATGCTGATGAACATTCTCGCGATGAAGATATCCATCCTACCTGTGGCCTTGGAGGTTGACGTACCAAACTGAAAAAGATGGTGTACATAATTCTGTATTCAAATGTATGTTTTGGAATGTAAGCATCAAAAGTTGTATATGGGGTGCTTAATACCCCTTCCCCAAAAAATTCCCCATGTTCAAAAAACTAAAAATCAGAAAAATAAATAAATTTAAAATCCATTTTAACAGATTAGAAGGAAAGTTATTGCCTTTGATTCTCTCTTCTTGTTGAAGCAAACAGATAGTTCCTGCGTCCAAGGTATGAATAATACTCTAGAAAAAATAATGGTTTTACAGGAGGATGAATTCCTTGCTTCAACTGAATGAGGAATAACCAGCTCTTCCCTCTTCTCCTCCCATTGGCTTTCCTCTCGTTATATAAACGAGATTCAGAGTCTCTTTTTGATTCAACTGTCTGCAACATGGGAAACTTCATGGGTTTCGTGAAAGGAGGTTGTTTAATCAATCTACTTAATCTTTTGCATTTGCTGTTATTTACTTAATAAATTTGCTTCATCTTTTGTTTGCGACAGGAATGCCATCTACCCAGATGTTGAACCTCTTGCTGGGAACGCTCTACAAACAATTCACAGATAGAGAAGTCAGCAACTTCGACCAGTTCCATATTGCTATTCTCGATATTTTGAAGTAAGAAATCATTCTTGAGCACGAAATTAACAGAAATAACTACCATAATTTCTTTTTTGAATTAATCTGATCTGTTGTTGTGTAAAAAAAAAAAAAAAAAACCTCTTCAGTACTTTCAACTCTGCATTGCCTGGGAAACATTACGATGCTCCATTACACAGGGAAGTAGAGGTTAGTCCGTTCTCTTGCGGCTTTCTTCGGCCATTTTTCTTCTTCAATGGACATTATTCATCTTTCAAAACCCTAATGCTATCAAACTATATGCAGGAGTGTTTCAACAGATGGAACAATGCAGACGAAGAATCTGCGAGAAAGAAGGTATTTATTGACTTCATGAAGGGGAAAGTAAAGCTCAGCCAGTTAGATAACACTACAATGATCACCGGGTTAGTTGCACCGCCGGCAGCCATGGCGGCTAAGAGAGCAGGAGAGATTCTGCCACACGTGAGTATAATTAAGGCCGTTCCTGATGTCATCTTTGTGCCTGCCGTGACAATGGCTGCCTTGATGACATCCAAGCTCTCCAGGAAGATTTTCATGCAGAACCTGCCATCCTGATTGTCGATTCGCCTCGAAGCACATGCATTTGAAGCTCATGGCATTTAGAAACTTGGATGTCAGCTGTGAAATTTCTAATATCGGAAGTGTAATGTACTTTATCAATGTCAAGAATAATTGATTTCTGCCCCATGTTCAGTTGAAATTATCCAGCAATGGGGATCTTATAGAATTGAATTATCCCTTTGAAAACCACAAACATCTGCTAAATACAGAAATATTATTTGTTGCAGAGAGGATGAACGAGAGATTATCAGAACTAAGAAAGACACTGTTCTAATGTATCACTTACTTCTTTCCATGCTATATATAAATATTGGCACAATCGTTGATGTTTAGAAACAAATGAAAGATAACTTAATGGTTAAAGTAGCCGACAAAACCTTAAATGTAACAAGATCACCAGAATCCGTTCATTTTCCTCTAGGCATTGAAGGAATAGACAAGTAAATATCACCTAACACAAAATACTAATTGTATACTGCAGAGCATCAAATCTGAGGCATTTCTTTTCACTTTCAGGAGAGAAGCAAATTTACAGATTACCATGCAGCAGAATATGGGAGCAGGAAGCGAAGATGCACAGCGGGATAGAATAGACAGCATGTACGATGTATGAATCATCTTTACAGCAGGAAGCAGAAATCTACTTCAACTGAGTTCCATGTACAGATATGATCTCCAGCCTAGTTGAGGATCTCTGGCTCCCTATTATATACGCCCCAATTTTCGCTTTCCTCTCTTCCTTTTCTTGGTGGGGACCTTTGACTTGGAAGTGGAAGGTAGCTCTGAATTTTGTTTAATAGACCGCCTGGGTGTGTTTGAGGGCAAGTCCCCTCCAGGAGCCAAGGCTGGAGAAATAGCTTTCAGCTTTGTGTGCAAGCGCTCTCCTGGAGCAAGAGAGACAGTTTTTGGCTTTGTCGGCATATCCTCTTGTGGAGCCAAGGCTGCAGAAATAGTTTTCAACTTTGTGGGCAAGCGCTCTCCTGGAGCAAGAGAAACAGTTTTTGGCCTTCTTGTGTGCAAATACCCACCCGAAGTCAGGTCTGCAGAAATAGTTTCTGGCTTTTCTGTTAATGCTTGAGGTTTCTCTTCCTGCAGATTTATACCACTTCCATAATTACGCAACTCTTCCTGGGCTGCCTTATTCTGTATCAGAATATCTTCCTCAGCCTGCATATGTGAAAGAAAAATGGATATTATTGTACTTATATTATATCTGGTAGGGCAAATATTAACATTCTTAACATCCTCAAAAACAACTAAATGTCAATTAAAGCAAAAAAATGTTTTACCAGCGGAATCTAAACTGAACAAATAGAGTTAACAGGACATGAACTATAGATGAGAGCCAAGAATTGGACCAACTATAATTTCCACTAATAAACTCAATTGGTGAGATGAAGAAGTAACCATGGCATCACAGTAATAGCAATTGTTAAAAAATTACTCAAACTCATCTAATTTAACTCGCATTAGCAAAAATCAATTAAAACTTTTCTTGCTTCAAGCAATTCTAGAAAGGAGAATATCTTTCACAAAAAAGGAAATAACAAAAGCCAAGAAATGACTTAAAGACCATTGTCATCCTAAGCAAAGGTGGAAAACGGGCAACGGGCAAGGGGTTACCTCTCCATGACTTGAAACTGCACTTTGGTGCCTATATAGATCTTCCATCTTGAACTCTGAAATAGGCTGAACTGAAACATGCGGAGATCTCTTTTGAATTTCATCTCCATTGTCAGGAGGAGAAGCATTTCCACAATCCATCAAGGTCAATTTATTAATTGAGGAGAACTTTCCAGGATTTTCACTCATAACCTTGTCAACTCGTGCAATTAGATTGCAAACTTGGGACTTCACCACTTCAATCCTCCAGAGTATCTGCTCCAACGAATCATCACCTTCTCCAAGCCCAAAGGGTGATGTCCATTCATCATTAATCCCAAAGTCATCATTTTCATGGATTGCCTTGATATCTGCAGAAACCATCACATAACAAATAGGCAAAATTTTAATTACCAGAAGAAGAAACTCAATTCTTGAAAGCACAAAAAAATATCAGGCCTAGAAATGATAACCAGGTAACAGCATGACCACCTAGAACAAGATATTCTGCGCAGAAAATATCATTACAATAACAATTTCTCCAAACAGAGAAAATCAATTACATCTGTGTCTGATAAAAAAATCAATAGCATCAGTGACAAGCAGCAGAATTAAATTAATATACTGAACAAATATTTTCAAAACATCAAAATGTCTTATTGTTTTCTACAGAAGCAGAAAAACAATAGTTTCAGCATGTCAAATTTCAACCAAAACTAAAGGAAATGCAGTGAAGCCAAACATATTTCAAAGAAATTAAAGTTGATTTTAACTTTGCTTAAATATCAAGAGAAAAATTAAGTAATTCTTTGTATTACTTTATTTTTCTGTTTTGTTCAGCCTTTACTTAGATTTAGTTTACCTACAAGCTGTGTGATGAACAAAATTGAGGCAAAACTACATCATTAATTCTTACCTGAATTACCATATTTATCATCGGCAGCAGCATTTCCAGCACCAGATTTCTTAAATGCTGGCAGTGTAGAAAAAGATGATTATCAGATTTTGAGTTAGGCAAATAAATACCATATGAAGAAAGAATCATAACTTCATACCAAAATATGAGAAAAGGTTGTGATGAGACATATATGTTGACATATCAGTAGTCTCTTCAACACGTTTTCTTTTCTTCCTCTTCATTACTTTCTTTCCTTGAACTTGAAAAGAAAATGGTTGTGACTTAGTATCAAAATCTTCAAATGTGATTTTTTTAAATTCAACCTGTTTTTTGTGATCATATTCTGCAAGTTCTCTATCATACTTCAGAGCTTGGGACTTAAATTCCTTAAGTTGCAGTTCTATCCATTTACAGCGCCACATAAGAGGACTTATAAACCTCCTCCAATGATCTGTCAACTTTCTCTTCCTGAAAAAAGTGGAGAAGAAAAACAAAGTACACAAATGTGATACAAGTCATACTAACCCAAAAGATGCATTTTATATAATAAAAAGCTGATTTTTGAGATTCTATCCATTTCTAATTACTTCAATAGCTAAATGGTGATAGAATGATTCAAAGTATAGATTTAATTTTCAAAACCCATATGGTGGTTAACTTTTAAACACCATGACAATGTACTTGTAATTGTAATCAGACTAGCTAACTAGAGTTAGATGTAGAGCACAAAGAAATACTAGAAGAAAGGATATCAGCAGTTGAGATGGTTCAAGCAAATTGAGATACGTCATGTAAAAATTTTCTATTTTTTCAACATATCTCAGGCAATCATATGGAAAGCAGCACTCAAGAAGACAACTTGAAAAGAGAGTATAAAGGGCTTTAGCCAGAGTTTCATAAGCACACCATTAGAGGGAATTAGTGCTTAACCCATCTTGACAGATTTTCCTAATCTAGGAAGGAGAAACAATGCATTGCATTAAAAATGTCAATACAACAAATGTTTACAATTTTGGAGGCATGCAAGTTAAATTCCGTCTTTCAATCCCTTCTAATAAATTATACCCCCATATATGTGGCAGCAAAACGTGATTGGGGTTTAAGTCACAATTAAGTACTCGAAAATTGACAAAATCTACTAGAAATCTGATTTAGCCTAAAGGTTAAGGAAGTTGAAGGACATGGATCAATCATGCAGGAGAAATTGGTCATAAACCAATTGGGAAGGGCTTGTGAGACTCCTAGTCCCTATGCCATGAACAAAAAATGGGTAATATTTGAATTTGAGTAAATCAATAGCCAGAAATCTCATTGTTTACCTCAAAGAATAACAGATTTTTTAGTGCACGTAAACATGAAGCAGAAAAGTAAACTACCATTTAGAATTGCATATTGATCTTTACTACCATGTATAACCAAAGAAAGTCCAGATATTTCAAACAATAAAGTACCTCATTCCAAACTGTTCATCATCAAACAACAATTGCCTTGTTCCATCTTCTAAGAGTGGTGATTCAGCATCACCCTCAATAGCATCATTATCAGCCCCCATTGCTGTGTCACTGAATGAACTGGAAGTTTCAGTTGCATCCTGGAATCCACCATCAACCAGTCCATGCTCACTAGACTGACTGCATTCAGTTATATCAAGCTCCACATCCTCATTTTTATCAGGTATTTTTGCTTGGCCTTCAACTACAGTTTCCTTATTAAAACTGTGGTCGTGACAATCGTTAACGGAATGCATTAACTTGTCTTCTGGATCTTGAGATGCCATTCTGCTTTCCTTGTTAGGAAACAACACTTCCGTCCCCATCTTCGACTTCTCTTTCAGCTCTAAATCAGGGCCCATATCGATATCTCCCCAAATTCAACTTAAACCCATGCTCAGGCAAGCAATTTATCACTAATGCCTGAAGAACTCACCACCCACAAATTTCAACATAAATATTTTGACTAGGTAAGTGAATCAAACATATAATCAACAGAAATAAGCCAAAAAAAACTTAATAACCCAAGGAAGCACAAATAAATCAAACAAAATCCAATAAGATTCTACTTTGTTTGCAGTTTTTCCCCCTCAAATTTCAAATTTTTTTCTCACTTTAAAAAGCGAAACCCACACCAAAAATTGCAAGCCAAATTATAAACGGAGCCAATTTTGATCAATTTTTTTTCAAAAAAAAAAATCGAGATTTAAGAACCGAATTTCTAAACGGAAACAAGGAATTGAAAATCCAAAAAAAAAAGGGGGTGTGGGGGCGAAGAGAAACCCAAATTACTTCACTATTCCAAAAAAAAAAAAAAAGACTGAAAAAGAAAAGAATACCCATCAGAACAACGCTGTAAAGATTCAAACAAGATGAATTTTAATCCCAAAACCCTAAACCCTAGAACAGAAGCGAAGAGCAAGGAAAAGGAATTACCCGAGGGCGGTTGAGAAGGGGTTTTAGGTCTCTATCTGTATCGGTTTCTGATTATCGGAGGCGAGAAACAGACGGTCCGTCCGGTTAACAAGAGCGCCGTGGACGACAGATTCCTAAATTAACGACCACCGTCGCCTGGTGTTCCGTGGAAAAAGGTAGTAGTTTATAGGAGTTAAGTTGCCGGCGCGTTAAAGCGCCAAGGGGACCGTAATTAATGGGCCGAACAAAAATTCCGCCTCAGATGACATCTAAGCATGATCTATCATCCATCAACAGTGGGGCCCGCCAGATTCACGTGACCATCCCCAACCGTATATTAGTATATTCACTGTATTTTATTTTTACCCGCATACATACTAGTATTCACTGAATCACCGTAGGTGCCACATCAGAAATTTGAATTTTCCTTTTCAAATTTGACTTTATTTGGAAACATTATAACAGATCCTAACTTTTTTTTTTTTGAAAAATATCTTTATTGAGTTTTTGATGAGGTAATGATATATAGATAATTTTTTTTATAAATTTTATATATATTATTAAATGTATAAATATATATAATATTATGATAAATTTAAAGTTATATAAAAAATTATACTTTACAAAAAAATATATATTAAAAAATTTGTCTCTCAATTATGTTTCATGTTTGGTATAACAAATTAAAATTAGAGAAAAAGAAAAATTAAAATATTTTGATATTAAAAATGTTATTATTAATTAAAGATGTATTAATATCTAATTTTATTAAATTCATTATATAGTCAATGTTAAAATGTTGTAATTTTTCTCCTTTTTTTTCCTTAAAATTAATCATTTAATATGTCTAGTAAAAATGTTTTAATTATTTTTTACCATATTGCTTGATTTTTGAAAACTTATTCAAAATACTCAAATTCAAAATTTTTATTTAAGTGAAATCAAAATTTTTTTTACTCATGTTCAAAAAAAAAAATTTTTTTACTCAAATCAATAAATAATTAGTAAAATATTTTAATTATTAATTTAATAATTACTCTTTATTTTTTTGTATTAATTCTCGATATCTAAAAATCACATATGACAAGAAAACTCTTTTAATTTTTATTTTTCTTAATATAATAATTACTCTTTATTATATAAAACAATCGCCTACTTTCAAAATAATATAGCAAGCAACTCTACACCTCATCAAAAAAATTAATTACCTATAAATATGCATTCCACATGCGTGGTGCAACGGTTACTTACTGTCTTTTAGGACAGGTTGTCTTTTGGGGTAGGCCGTGATTTGTATCTTATGTTCTGGGTTCAATACCCTTCCTACACGCTAACACCTCTAACACACTAACATCTTTAACCATTACCCTTCTAAAAAAAAAAGTATAAATATGTACCAAAAATATATTATAATTTTAAGTATTGAATTTAAACTTCCCTTCTCAAATTTGTACTTAATCAAATATATGTATGGCAAGCAGCCCTAAAGTAAACGGACTATTCAAGCACTAAATGCTTTCGTAGTGGACGACAAGGGTTACCGGTTGCTCACGTAACGATTATAACCACAAATTTTGGTAACAAATGGTCTACTGAAGTTGAACTGATTGAGAAATTGGATAGAGCAACCAACTACCCTGAAAGTCTTGGTGCATGAACTACGTATCAATGCACGTGCAAGGCATGTATTACATGATTCTCTTTATCTATACTTTGAATACATTAATTGTAAACTTAAAACACTTATTTGCTATTAAAATTTTATTGAGAGGATATTCATCAATAAAAATGATTTTAAAGAATTAATTTACTTATTATTTCTCTTAATTTTTTATTTTCTTATTCATATATATTATATAAAGGTATTATTTAAACTTGCAAGTAAATAACTCAACTTTTACATTTTTTTGAAAACACTGAGGGAAGTACACTGCACAACAAGCACAACAGGGCTTGGTTTCTAAACATTGTAAAATAATCATTTAAATCAGTGCTCCTCGTCGCTTGCATGCTACCATACATTTTAAAGTAATCATATATATTTTTTGGTATTAACTTTATGATATTCGATAACCACGTTGAATTTCGACTAATTCGAAATTAAGCAACGTCAACTCTCATTAAAAGGAAAGCTCTTCCGCACCTGTTTCTCCATTCACAAGATTTGAACTTGAGACTCTCCATTTTCACAAAACTTGAATTTGAAACTCTCCACTCACAAGACTTGAACTTAAAACCAAATTAAAAGAAACCGAATTCATTCCATTCAGATCAACAATGTAACAATCATGTATATATATATATATATATATATATATATGAACACAGAACATCAACCATAGTCCTGATTATTCACCATTTACCGCAAAGGCTAGACCCCTATGTACAAAATTTCTTCCCAATTTCATATAAATAAGTATTTGACAAGAGAATTCAATGAAATCCCCACATTGTTTTTCCTTTACAATACAAATTAACAAGTAAAATCCACACAGAAAATGCTTAATGCATTATTTGTAAGCCGTAAATGTATACACAATGTATAAAAATCTTGGATCCAAAACCTAAGACGGTAATGAAGGTCGCCTCTGATCTCAGCCCCTCCCGGCATTCCCATGTCTTTGGCTTCTGAAAACGCTGAGGAGTCCCTGTGCCTGTAACCAATGGAAAGTCGAGTTATTTTTCCAGATAAAGATGTGGGAGAAAGGGGAGAAAGAGTTGATATTGGAAAAGCGGGCTGTATACCTTTTCCTTAGCCCTTGGGGTGCCAGAATGTGACAAAGCCACTAGTGGAGGGACTGCTCCTTCTTGGAGCACCATATTGCAAAACTTATTACTGTTTGTACAGAGCTGCAAGAGTGTAGCAGCTGCATTTTCCTTTCCTCTTGCAGAACCCAACTCAACAACCTCAACAAGAACAGGAATGCCACCCTCCTGACAGATAGCAGTCCTCCCTTCATGAAGCGTGGCAAGATTTGCCAAAACAGCAACTGCCTTATCTACCATTCCAGCAGCTGGGTCCATCAACTCCACAAGATATTTTACAGCGCCAGCTTGCACAATATGTGCCTTGTTGTCATGAAATATTGACAGATTGAACAAAGCTGTAGCAGCATCTTTCTTCCCTCTAGGAGTCCCATTCCCAAGTAAGTCAACAAGAGGCTCGATGGCCCCAGACCTTCCAATCCTGACCTTGTTATCCTCAATCACCGAAAGGCTAAAAAGAGTGGCGGCTGAATTTTCTTTAGCTTCAGGACTCCCAGTCTTGAGGACATGAATTAGAGGATTAATAGCATTTGCATTAGCAATAAGTGTTTTGTTGTTATCATTAATTGATAAGTTTAGAAGTGTCGTGACAGCATCTTCCTGAGTCTTTGGATCAGAGGAGCAAAGCAACTCAACTAACAAGTTAATGGCCCCCGAGTTTGCTATTACAATCCGATTGTCCATGGTGTGCTTGGCCAGCAACCTGAGTTCAGCTGTTGCCTCTCTTTGAGTATCAACTGAAGAGCTCCTCAAGTCATCCACCAACTTACGGACTTGGGTTTCAATGCCAGAAAGATCAGGTCTTGATTCAGTGGCAGGAGAGGAAACTATCCTTGCAGTGTTTCTCTCTGAGGGCCGACGCCAGCCCTTTTGGCTTCGAGATCGTGATGTGAAGAACTCAGGGTCTCTTTGTGGAATGGTTGAGCTAGCTGCAGCCTGTGACTCAGCTTTCACCACCCCAGAACCATCACTGCTGTAAGTTGTGAGATGATATGACCCATCAGAAGGCCCATTGGTATCTCCAGCTGCTCCTTGAGGAAAATCTGAATTAGAGAGCACATTGGAGGCTGAAGCGGATCTAGCATGGTTCGGAGGTGAACGTCCAGCATTAGACAAGTCTCTTCTAGATGGAGATACAGAAGGTTGGGAACCTGAATCTCTATCCATCTGCTCAGCATTTGATCTGTCCTCAGCATTATTCAGTGATATTCTTGCAATATCCAGACCTGGCCCATTTCCAGTGACACCAGACAAAGAACCATCCGAACTGGAACGGGGATGTAGTGGGGATGTTCCCTCTCGACGAATCCTAGTCGATACAGTTAAGTTTTCATCAGATGAACCTATCAATCTGAAGTCAGGTGACAATGGTTGGCCCCTGGAATGAGAACTATATGAATCCCTTACCAAACCAGAATCTCCATGCAGGAGAAGGGGAGAAGGCTGGTTTAAACTCATGGTCTTCATGGGGTCAGGCAACTTCACATTGTTTGATTCACACCAGTTAGCTATCAGTGCCTTTACATTGTAATTAGGAATAAGATTGGTATAACCCAAAGTCTGCCGTGTTTTTGGACATACAGTGAGCCCAAGACCAATCCACTTCTTGATGAAAGACTTCTCATAGGTTTGTCCAGATGCCACAATCACCGGATCAGTCATCAGCTCCAGGGAAAGGGGGCAGCAAAAATCAGGAGGTATGGGGACAGGACTACAGGTCTGAGACTGTTTAATTGAAACAAGACGTTCATGCATGCGAGTTGCAAGAGCAATCATGTGATCAATAAACTCAACTTCTGCAGTCTTTTCAGACTGTTCAGCATTTTCTTTCAACTGTTCAAGGGCAACAGTCTCAATGAGAATTTCCTGGTTTGACCTCAAGGTCAGGCTGTCCGCAATTCTAACTAGCATCTCTGCACGGGGTCCAACACAATCCACTTGGTCCCTTATGGCTTCCTTAATAATAGATGTTGTCTGTTCGTATCCCATATGCTTAAGTTTCTGTAAGCAGTGCTGCAATCAACATGCTGGCTGTTAGAGACAATAAAATGGACCTAATTCAATTATGCATTCAACTAAGATAAGTAATTATAATTCCATGAGTTAGATGCCCATCAGTGAAGTTTTCACCAATTACTTCTTAAAACAACTCCCTTTAATCTGACCAATAACCTTTTGAGTGATTTCAAAGGAAGTTAACAACATGCTCTATTCATAACAAAAGACAAAGCATTCAAGCTTCAGTAAGTTTCCACCATAAGTTACCTCGAGAGATGATGAACTCAATTCATTAGGCAGATGCTGATAAGAAGACTTCAGAAATTGGAAAATGTCCACACAAGAATTTTGAAGCTTTGATATCAATGATTCAATATGCAGAACCTAAAACCAAGGGGAAGAGAACATAATTATTCCTTTAATTACTTCAATTCCTGCCATCACACCATTACAAACCATGGGATGCCACAATCTAAAGGGTCATCTTTAACTCTTCTTCATAATATTCTTGGGTAAGATAGTAAAAATTTGAAAACATGCAGCTGATTATATGGGTTGTGGCTTACAAAGTAAACTTTACTTGACAGTGGTTGCCAGTTTTCAAAGAGCTCTCTCAATTCATTGACAGGTTGGCCCAATTCTTCAAATGCCTTGCTAAGCGCTTCATTGGTAGCAATTTCAGAATCAACAATTGCATCAAGAATTGGCTTCAACAGCTTAAGTATCTCTTCCGTCCTCTGGCAATACTTCTGCACCAGGTCTGAGTTTGTGTTGTCAAGAGATGAATAACTTAGAAGCAAGGAAATATTACCAAGAAGTGCTTTTAACAGAGATATCTCCATTTGACCTGTGTAAACACAAGAGTCATAGAAATGAAAAGAAAGGGTTAGAAACAGAAACAGAAAAATAAGATAATGAAGGATAAACCACCACAAAGAGCATGGACACACAATGCTAGTAAGCACAGCATCATGAACAACACAGTATCAAGTTAACCAAGTCCAAAACTGAACATGAATGAGATATAGAAAAATCAATAAAAATCAGTAACAAACCCTGAAGTGAATACTGTTATGACTTGTACCACAACATTCTATATTATTAAGCTTAAAACTTCAAGCCAATTATCAATTAGACCACTTCTGATGCTCCACAATTTAATCTGGTAAGCTTGCCACACTTTAGATTGTAGAATATTTTACCTAATATAGTCCACATAAACAAAAGGTAATCTAAATAACTGATTCCAGTACTGGAGAGAAAAAAAAGAAATAGACAGGGATATAGTCGTTTTAGAATACCCTACAAATGGACTGGCCCTTTACAAGGCAAGTATTGCACTTTAAAGTGTCTGTGTAGAACAATAGGCAACCAATCCACAAGTGGAACAATTAGGCGTTACTTATATTGTTATTGAATTCTTAAATTAACAGATTGAAGGAAAGAACAAAAATGCAGTATCAAAATTCCAAATGTTATCAGGGAGCACAACACATGATGAAAATAAGCATGAAGATCAAAATAAACTATCAAAGGAAATAAAATTCAATAACTTTCCCTCTAAGAATTAGATAAGGTTGTATTCAAGCACAATTATAAAGTCAAACAGCTCAAAAGAGTCTGCAGCTAATCACTTAAATGCCTAATTAACCACTCACCTAAATCTAGACCCAAATCTTAATTGAATCTTGGACAATCATGCTTCCTCTAAATTTATCAAACCCTCTAGTACCAAGTTTTTTTTTGGCAATATATGGACCAAAAATAACCATGCACAGAGTACTATAAAAAAAAGCAACAATCCAAATTCTAGGAAAAGAAAACACATGGTGCATACCTCTTTCACAATAAAATTGGAGTTTCTAATGCCAAAATTACTCCTCAATCACTAGTCCTTGGGAAACCATTTGTGCCATACAAAATTATCACTGAAGAACCCTCTGGAACATCCATGAATTGAAAAGACCTATGGTGCCATGAAGTGTTCAAAATCATAACGATTTTTGTGCACAGAGCTTCACCAACTAGCAACTCCTAAAAGAAAAAAGGGAACTTTTAGAATTAAATATTCAACAACAGGCAGGAAATCTACAAAAACAGTGGCAATTAACTTTAAACCTTCAAATATGATCCAACTACTACCATAAAATACAAATAATAGATAATTCGCTATAAAATATCACAATGCTGGCAATGTTCCCAGCACTCATCTAAATTACATTAAACAAAAATTGAAAGTAGAAAAGCAGATGGATTGGTAATGAACCAAACCCTACACCTAGTCCCTTAGGCACGGCAATAACCAATGATAAAATTTTTGCAGTAATACTTTGCATCATAAACAAAATTCGGGCCCAACCAAACCGTTACAAAATCCTTTATCTTTCCCTTGTCAGTGGCTATTTCTTCGACACAATTAAGTGCATGAGGAAAAGGAAAAAATTGTAACATCATTAAAATTAAAACTAGCCAAGAGTATAGTAATTCAGATAAAGAAACTGCATATTGTCACTTATTCATTTACCACATCAGGATACAGACAAGATGAGATAAGGATGCTTCAAGTTTTCAAACTCTTGCCAACATGAATACCGGAAAAACCAAAGAATCTCCCATCTAACACCTTCAAGTGAAAACACTACAGCATATTTACAGAAACATGGGAAATTTCAACAAGGAGCTTTCCTGAAACACTATCACTAAATTTTACAATATACCAATGATGCATCCCGACACTAGTACTTATCCAATTTCTTTCACTTACAACTAAATTTTCTTACTCAGTTTTCCAATAGTAGGGTAGTAAAGTCATAAATAAATGACATTATTTTACAATATTTATGATTTGACACACACTTGCAGTGTTAAAAATTGAAAATTAATTCCTGTTCTCAATTTACCAAATTTAAGCTGTCTTCCTTATCATTCCAGAAGCAGGACCCAGAAAATAAAACATTATTTTCCTTAGAACCTCCTCAGTTGTCATCTAAAATCGAACCGCAAAAAATAGGTCGTGAAAATTAATGGCCATATGAAAACAAAATCAGATCAGAAAGAATTCCTTCGTATTCCTTAATAATGAAGTCCAAAGAAAACAAATTTTTAGCTATCTGATAATTCATACACTGTGGAAACATGAGGTAATTAACTCGTCATTCCCCGAAAAGAAACATACTTAATCTTTGATCCTGTCAGCTTAATTCTCACAGACTAACATCTTCACATGCAAAACCATGAACCCAGAATTCCCCCCTCCTTCATCCCAGAGCTCAAAATGAAGAACCCAAATGCAGGAACAAAGAATCTCACAAAAATTGATAAAAAACAACCACAGCTCTCCAAGAAATGAATCATAAAACCCTAACCAACTCAAAATAAAAAAATAAAAAATAAAAAATAAAAAACTAAAAAGAAAGACCCAGAAGAAGAACAAGTAGAAGAAGAAACGATACCCGAATGTAGCTCTGGATTGAAGTTGGTTGATCTCTGATTCTCCTGTGAATCAGTAAAGGAAAAGGAGGAAAGAAGGCAGATTTGGGTGATTCTGATGTTGGGTCTTATGGTTCACTTTCAGTTTGATTTTCGTGGGAGTAACAATTTTTTTTCAACCAAATTATGGGTTTTTAGTAAATTTGGGGATATGATTGGGCTGCCTTCTGGCTGACTTGAAGGATCAAGGTTGAGACATTCTCTTCGTTCTACCACTTAGTTGTCTTTACTAAGGAGTAATAATTTGACAGAGATTAATATTGCCAGACAATGATGCATGCATGATTTTTTTTTTTAAGAGGTTTTTTTTTATATAATTTTTATATTTTATTAAATTTAAAAAGTATTTATATTTTAAATAAATAAAAAATTTGATTATTTAAATAATATATAAAATTATATTAAAAGATAATAAAAAAAGTTTTTTAATTATTTTTTAAATGATATATTTTCTTGTACTAATCTTCTTTTGTTGGATCTCATAATAAAGAACTCTCTCGGTATCTATCTTTTCATTTATAAAATCTGATTTCAAGATTTTATATAAAAAAAAAAGACTTTCTCAAGCTAACACATTGTTGAAATTATCACATTGTATATTAAGAACAATTTTATCTCAACTTGGTCCATTTATAAAAAACAAAAACATTATACTGATTTTTTTTTTTTTTTGGTATTAATATAAGTAGCAGTTAGTGATTGTATACTTCTTCAATTTGTTTTATTAATCCCAATCGCTAATACTTCACCTTACACCTTTATACCAAATATCCTTAAACACTATCTCAAAGTTATGAAATTCATGAGGTTTTATTTCTTTTTAAGAATCAAATATTGATGATTATTTAAAAAATATATTGAGTAATAATGTGAGAAACAAACTCTTTATCAATTAATCTATTGTAAGGTGAAATTTGATTGTTTTTTAATTGATTGGAATTGAGATTTAATTAGGTAGTACTAAAAGAGCTGTATCTCATTCGCCAAGTAGGCAAGTATTTCTATAAAAACCTCCTTATTTGTTTTCATCCCATTTATTTTCTTGCACACTAACTATATTTTATTGTGGCATCTGTTTGAAGCCCCACCTTATACCTTACTCATCCACTAATTATATTTTATTTGATGGGAATAAAGTGAAAGAAAATAATAATAATTTTTTAACTAATTAAATTATAATATTTTTAAATACTACAATTTAATTAATAAAAGAATTCGTCACCCTTGTTCTCTCAAACTAAACATACCTTAAAATAAAATAATAATAAAAAACGTCATTACACGTTTTATTAAAAAAAAAAAGAGATAAATAATTAACTCTTTTTTCTAATAATAGACTTTACTGGTTTAAAATTGATAAAGTCAAGTGATGCATGCATTATTCCTCAAACCATATTATTGAAAGGATAGGAATGATTGGGGGAAAATGTTTGGTTAATATTAATAATATTGACGGTAGACGTGGAATCTAAGAGAACGAAAATCAAATGCAGAGAGCAGACCAGGTTCCATTCCACTCGAAGACTTTCTAAATTGGCCTTCCCTGGATGGATGTATTTCAAAGAATTGACTATTGGAAAAGAATTTTTATGTTACCAAAGGTCACCTCGACGAAAAAGGAAGGGAAGCAATCTTTTCAGAGATTGACTTTTGGAAAAAGAATTTGTACGACGTTCAACAATCTTCGGTAAATGTTAGAGATGCTCGACTTTAAATGAACGATTTTACCTTTACTTTTCTATCCCCAAATTTCCCTTTGTTCCAAAAAAAAAAAAAAAAGAAAAAAAAGTAGGTATGACCGTATGAAAAGGACTAGTGCCCAAACCCAAAACAAGAAATCAAAAAAAGGCATGACTAATGGCAGCTTCTTGGATCCATGAGTGATCATCATAGTTCCAGTAGAAAAAAAAGAACACTAGAAACGAGAAGTCCTTGGACTTGCGTCTGCATTGTATATTTGAGACCAAATTCCTACTTTCCGCCAACTGAATTCATTGCTAAACCAGGAAACAATGCAACGTAACTACGTAAAGTAGGAAGACTAAACCAAAAACTTCAAGCTGACAACCTAAATGACCAAACGGTAATCTCCCCTTGACGGAAATAAGAGATTCAAAGTTTGCGTTAGAAGTATGTGAGTGGAGGGTGTAAATGGACGGGAGTGCAACCCAAATCAGAATAAACCAATACTTCAAAGAAAGGAAGAAACCACATTCTTTAACCAGTGTACATACATGACACAACATGTGCCCTGTGGGATAACTCTATTCATATGCAAGAGCAAGAGTGCTGAAAGAAAGCATAAAAGAAAATGGCTCTTATATTCACCTTACTGAGACCTATTTCTAATCCACCTGGGGTATCACAGTACGAACATACAGACTAAATCGTGCAAGCAATCTTCTGTATACCTTTATATTGATTAGAAAAATAACGTATAACCATCAAAAAGGAGCACCCATGTCAAGGTACAAAAGGTTTGAATCAAAAACTTGCTATTAGTGCAGACTCATCACCTGTCAAAAATGCCCCCTCTTGCAAAATAAACAAGGAGCCTATATTGGCTGGAGTTCCTGCTCGGGGACAGCTCCAACAGGTTTGTATGAATTGAGTGATTGTTGTCTGCGTCTCCAAATAAACCATATTCCAGTAGCTGACAAAGCAAAAGCCATTGCCATGATAAAGGCTAGAAAGACCACCAGAAAATGTTGATGCCACCATGTCCTGCATTATTTCATAACAAAAAAATATATATATATTCTTGTTTATGCTTACTGGATATATAAAATCCCCACTGTAACAAACAGCTTCAAGATACAACTACTCATCAGCTTTCAAGTAATTGGTCAAAATAAATCTTGACTGGAAACCAAATTAAAACCATGTGGCAATTACAATCATTCATACAATCCACTATGAATCTAATACCTATAGAAATAATATGCTACTGCATGAGAAAAGCAATTTAATATATGGACGTCCTATAGAAAGTATGTCAGGGCACTATTTCACAGCCAAGCGGGCAGCACATAAGAACGCATAAAAGATCTAGAACATCTATCATTCTGACTCAAGCTTTTACAAGCAAAAGGCACAAACAAACAAAGAGGCCTGTAAAAAGGGTTATTTGCAGATTAAGACAAACAATCTTTTTTTAAACCCATATCACAATAGGCACATTGACACAACCTTTTGAAGAGATAAAATCAGGACATTTTTTGGTGGGAAGACACCTACTAACAATATGACATGATATGGTAAGGTTTCTCCACCACCCCTTTATTTGAAAAAGCAGTAACATGGACATTTTAAAAAGGAAGAAACATACTGTTTCATTGGTGGCTCAGCCTTCAACCGTACCAACTGATAATTTCCAAAGGTATCAGGAAGCTGAAGTCGATGTTCAGCAAGTCGAGAAATAATACTCTGCAGATAAAGTCTATTATTAAGCAAAGAGTTGTAGTCCTGAAACTATTGCAATACGATAAACACAGACTTACTGTTGCAGTATTATTGGAGAAATAGCTAGCTGATCCTGAAGGGAATATGGCCCATCGAATGAGAGAAGTGTTTCCTTCAGATGTAAAATTCAATAAATGAACCTGAAATCATTCATCCATAGTTATTTCACCACAAGTAAGGATCACACAAACAAACTTAATCAAAAACAAATATATCAGGTGGTTTAACTGACTCAATAATTAATTAGCAATTCTACATTAATTTTTAATGAAATACTTTCACAAAATTTGCTGTATTGCAAGATAGAATGATAACCTGCAAAGCATTAATATCCAACTCGTTTGCAATCAACTCAGCAAGTTCATTAATGTGACCTTCTAGATCTGAGTACTTGATATTCATTAACATATCAAATGTTATTCTGCCAATTGGAACATCCCCTGTTCATCAATAACAAAATAACTTCAGAAAGAACCTTGTTAGAGCCAAAAAAAAAGGAGGGGGGGGGGGGGGGGGGAGAAGATTCTGATTTTAGGCCAGAAAAGATAAAAAAAACTAAGAGGGCAAATGGGCAATATGATCTACATTCTATGACTACATCTGTATAAGAGATGGAGTGAAGACATGATTGCATCTTAAGTTCTAAGGAACAAGATTAGCAACTAACCCCAGAGGGGTAACAAGAAGTTGATGCATTTATGCTTTTGAATTTTTGGGTGAATGACAGTCCATAGAAAATTTTCTCTTGGTCCTTTATTCCTTTTCCTATTACCTTTTTCCTAATCTACCATATACATGTGGTTGACCCACAACAAAATACACCTCAGTCTCCCATAGAAACAAGAATATATTTAGCCAAAATCTATATGAAACAAGAATTACACAGTGCGAACTAAAAATATTCATGTTTTATGGCACTTCATGAAAATGATGCTATTTGGACAGAGGAAGCCTCTTATAACCCAAATATAAAGTTGAGAGCAAAAGACAAGCTTACTCCTATAATTGGTTTGAGTGAGATAAGTAGTAAAACAGTATAATACAATTTTATTATACCTGGAAGAACATAATGGGGTGATCCATTAGGAGCTGATGAAGGTGGCAATTCTACAGTTGAATTATCCTTCCCACTTAAAGAGGGAGGAGGAGGTGGTGAAGTACCAGAAGTTATGTGAAGCCTTTCCCAGAGCTCAGAACAATTGGTCTTCCAAAAACCAATCTTTTTATGTTCACGGTCATACATAACAAGAGTATTGCGAACAATGATTCCTGACACAAACAAATATGATTGATAACATGAAAGCACCTGATAAAGTAACTAGTGCATGAGTTCCAAGAAATGAAAACAGAAAATGGGAATTGGAATTGACTGGAAATGAGATCCCTTTCTCCCAAACTCTCTAAAGAAGCCGGCTAGCAATTCTATCCAATCCCAATTCTTAGACTGAACCACCCAACAAAGGTTTCAGTAAAAAGGTATAATGACAAGTTGCTTATGACACCAAAGAAACAAGTAATATAGCTTAACATACCTCCAAGAAGACTAGTTGGATCCCTTCCATTTTGGAAAATTCCAAGGCAATATGCACCTGGTACCTTTGAATGCTTTATGAATTTATTGAGGTAAAATAAAAGAAAAACCCAGTATCAGTCAGAGTATATTGAAGATTAGGGACACAGGACAAAATCATTGATGGCATTTGGACAAATTTTTTAGATCAGCTTTAAAACTGATTTTAGGAAAGTCAAGTTGTTTCAACTTGAAGAAATAATATATATTTTTTGGGAAAAGAGAAAATCAGGACATTGTATTAAAAATGGTAAAACATCTAATAATAGCCACATAATAAATTTGATAAAGTTAGGGCCCACGGTATGCCCCACACATTTAATGGTTTTGATTGGACATCCTAACATTTTTAATGCCACAATGTCTTGATTTTCCATTTTCTCTCTTTTTTTCTTTTTTTTCTTTTTATAGAAAAGAATTACAAAATCAGTTGCTCACCCGGAAAAGGTAATTTTCAGGTGACAACAGTAATTTCTGCCCATTGCCAAATACCATTTCCACAGTTGGAAATGTTTTTGAGAGTTGAGAGACATCACTGCAAAAAAGGGACAATTTTTACAGTTGTAACACAGGAAAGATGACCATGATATCTACAAACAATTCAAACTTCTATTATGCAAAAGAGAATACCTTGTAGCACCAGAAAAGCATATATCATTAAAATTTGGATCAGGACCTTGAATCCTCTTTAAGGTATTAAGTTCCTTCGTAACCTGCAATTCAACCATGGAAATTTTCAACAAAGTGACAAAAAGGATGGAAAAGCAAAGTGGCAAAAACGAACACACACATCCAAAATCTACATAAAACAGAGATGAGCATAACTCTATACTTATATTTCAACAATAGACAAGGCTCAATTTTTCAAAAAATATCTGTGAAAACACAATCTGATATCATATTTTGATGGCAGCAAAACATCTGACAGATAAACTACAGCAAGAATTTACGCAGATGTCAGTTTGCTTATATAAAATTCTAAATCATTATTATAAATATGAGTAAACCTATCCCCTTCCAAACCTACATTTGTAAATATAAATACGTATATATTTTGCTGAATTATGGTAATCCCAAACCATTTCAATCAGAGAGAAAATGCTTTAAGTTGTAACTTGTAACATGTCTGAAATGTATCAAGAGAACAATTGTAAGAATGAAACTCTAATTAATCCCCTATACTGATATTAATGTTATTAAGGATGAAAATCAGGATGCTAAAGTCCTTTACCCTCAAAAACCCAAGGTTATTGATGTAGTTGTTACCCTTCCTCTAGAGGAGATCTGAATCCCCCACCCCACATTGCCACCCAAATGTACCGAAAAAGAGTAATTTAACCTCACCATATGACAAGGGATGGGGAGGGAATAAATAAGTACAGCAAGCATTAACTCAAAAACTCCACAAAAATTTAATAAAATGATGCCCTAGCCTCTGGGTAAGGAACTGGATCTTACAGCATCCTTAAATGCCAAAAATGCTGCTTCTGGTAGGTAAGCATATGTTGTCCCACTATCCAAAACAGTTCCTTGCTTTCCATCAAAGACACTTCGTTTCAGTGGCAACCGCTTCCCAGCAACATGTATCTCTTTCAAATCAATGTTGTAATATGGACTGTTGCCATCCCGAAACTAGAGTAAATGTGTCAGATGTATCAAGTATATTTTTTAGGGAAGTTGATACTTCATCTTTTCTCAGGGCAGAAGGTTTTCAAAAACATACCTGCGTGCGGGATCTGAATAAGACCAGACCATGTCTGATGGCGGGGAAATACCACCAAGAACCATGGCCCCACCACCAATACCCATCCCACCATAACATAAAGAGAATGAATCACTAATTACACCTTTTTCAACAAGTTGGTCCACAATACTGAGATCACCACGGCCCAATCCCATAATACCATCAGCATGCTGACTGTAAAGGTCACCTGTTTCTGCAGTTTCACACCCAAAAACAGCACGTTGGGGTGAAAGTTCACTTTGATTGCCAAAGGATACAATATCCTCACCAAGGACACCACTACTGGTACTCATTTCGGCATACTGTCGATCATAAACACACTGCACCCTTTTACTGTCACAAGTGCAATCTACGTTGCACCTGACAGCTTGATAAGTGCTTGACAAATCTGGCTGAAACTTCGGGTCCTGGTTAATAGAAACATCAGTACTCAATTCTTGACAAGGAAACACATGAAATGAGAACCTGAACAAGATGCTTAGTATAATCAATTCATCTCATTGAACATATATCACAACTGCTTATACTTAATGGCACATGCTAGAGAAGAGACATTCCCTACACAATGTTAGATGTGAATTGGCAGCTCTATCATCAATGCACTTTGGGCTTAACCAATTAAACTTCCACAACTAGACCTGTAATTACTATTAACTACAGCTCAATAATTAAAAAATCCATTAGACAAATAACTTGAAAACATTTCAAATCTCGATAAGCAGTCCTTTTCTTCATACTGACTTCTCTTGAGTTGCACTCCATGTAAACGACATTAATTTATTACCATATAGAACCACAATATGAATATTTAAAAATAGAGTAACACTAAAGAAATCAAAAGGAGGGTTCTAACCAGATTTACATTAACATGTTAAGTTGATCTATAATCTTGCTTGGGGCCATAGAGCAAACGGCATGCCCCACAACACTTAAATTTCATATACAATATATATAATTTTATCTTGAATGCACTAACAAAATAGAACAACAAAATACTATTAAATTAGGCAGAAAAAGCTGTTTGAACAGAAGAAGCAAATCGAAGGAATATAAATAGGAAATGCCTCGAGCCTCACCTCGTGTTTTCCACAGTGTTTGCAAGTAGAGCAGGGAACGTAAGTAACAGTGCTCCCCGTATCAACTATGAGGGCGAATTTCTGAGGAGGCGTCCCGATCCAAAGCCGCGTAGTGTAATACCTTTAGATAATAGAACCTCAAAGTTTCAGCTCCAAAAATGAAATTAAAAGGAAAATGAAAATTCAAATCATGTGGAAATGAAAGACGTTGTTATAAAGGAAAAGCGTACCCGTTGAGGAGGAGATCGTCGTAGAGTCGCATGCGAGCATTAGGACGGGAGTGAGACTCGGATCTCTGGAGGTGGCGTCGACTGTTGAATAAGCTTCTGGAAGAGTTCTTGGGAGCATGGAACAGAGGCAGGACCATGGCGGGGCGCGCCCCGGCGTGGGGCGGAGGGAGGAGGAGGGGCGACGTGGAGAGATTTGAACGGACAAGAGAGAGCAGAACGAAGAGGAGGACGGTGGTGGCGGATGTCGTGATGGAGAGTTGAGCTAGAGCCCGCGCCATGATCTGTGGCTCGGGTGATCCGAAGGAAGGTGATGCGGATCGGAGAGGGAAGACGGAAGAAGATGGAGTGAAAAATGAAGGAGATGGGAAGTCAGAGGGAGACTGAATAAACTTCCCACCAAACGGTACTGTAGGTGGTTAATTTCTGATTTCTCTAAGCAACCAACCTCCAACAAGATTAATTTTATACTAGTTTAAGATAGACATCTTGCTAGAACGACGCCGTTTAATCAGTCAATGTTCCAAAATTTTGATTGTTACAAAAAAAAAAAAATCTAAGGTGTGCTTAAAAGTACATATTTATAATAAAAAAAATTGATCTTAATTTTATTGATATTAAATTGTTTTATATGATATTATTATTTTATTTTTGTAACTTTTTATATGACAAAAAAATATAATAAATATACTCTTAATATGTATATTTAAAACACAAATTAAAAAACTCTAAGAAAAAGAATAAACAGAGAAGAGATTGAACTAAGGAGAATAACAGTTATTGTTCTGAAAGGATCATTTCATCTAAGTTCGCAATTTTGTAAAATTCAAAGTATACTAAATTATAAAATTAAAAGCATCAAGTAGAAAAAGAACCAGCTATTCAATGAACATGCTACCCATTTAATAATTTAAGTTTGGACACATTTTTGTTTCATCCAGCTCAATAATTATTTTATCTTTAGAGTTTCGATGAGATCAAGTGCATTTGTTAATGGTTATATTGCAAGGACTATCGTACATCCAACTCAAATACAGCAGATAAATATCTTACGCTATTAATCTGTACTGTAACCATCAATCAGAAATTACAAAACAGATTGAGTCTGCTGCTTCCCTTTTTGTCCAGAACACTGATTCCAATCAAGAATGAATTCATCCTGTATGTCAGCAGGGATGTAAAGGGAACGTGAGAAAGGAAATTCAGGAGTTCTAAACCCAAAGAACACATAATAACAAAATGCACAATTAAACTGCATTGTTTATTTGTTTATTGCCAGCCCAGGACTGGGTTTTATTACAGCCATTTGTGATATCAGTTACAGAATCCAAAATACTTAGTCAGGCCCCTGAAGTTTCTAATGCATGAAGGTTGCAGTTGCTGCCTCGCTTAATTCTGGTCTGCTCTACATATACACACAAAGAAGAATATGTGAAGTTCTTTTAAGGAAATAACTACTCTGTGTTGTTTGAGACCACACTCAAATGGAGTATACCACTGGAGTTGGTGCATAATAGTCCCCATAGGTGGCATAAAGGGAAAGCAATACTTCAAATCAGAGAACGATATCCACGCACGCAGCTTCACCATCTAGGAATCAGCATGCAAAAGGAACTTCATGAGTCTTTGTCTCTTGAACCTCACATAGGTGTTGAGATTGGTTACTCAATCCCCTGAGTCTGTTTGGATTCCACTAAACGGTTCCATGGAAAAAAGGTAATACCCCGACAAACAAGATAAACTATAAAACCGACATATGCACCCGTAAATGCAAACACTACAGTTGTAAAGATTATGCCAGCGACTTCAGCGAAGAAGAATTCTAGTAGAAGATACCCATTGATTACAATAACCAATGCTGCCACAAGCCATGCAACCGTCTGCAAATGAGAGAGGGGAGGTTTAAAAAGAGAAACATAAACGCACACACATATTTTCACCTTGATATCTATATACATATACATATACATATATATATATATATATATATGAAAAAAGCAAGTAACTAAAATAGGGAAAGAGTGAAATTAATCAACTATTCTGCTTCATAGTTCATTCAATTGTAAACTACAACTATATCATATCAGAAGCTAACATTGGAAACTAGAAAGTAACAACTTTGTCGTCCATGCCATATCCAAAAGGATCAATGGCAAGAAAGGTAAGTAAGCAATGAAAAATTGCAAATGCCTAGAACAGAGAGCAAACTACCAGCCGGTATGAGAAACAATGATAACTCACATTACTATAGGACAAGGAATGAATGCAGTCTGCAGATGCTCTTTAGCAGTTTTCTACAGTACAAGTGTCAAGCAGCAGTTTGGTATGAAATGAATTAACCCTGCTACAGACAATCAAACACAAGCAGTACTCAATGATGGCTCCCATTAGTTACTACAATTCCCCATCCTCACATCATTGACATGGATAACTACGAGACTGTGAAATGAATTAAACTCTACTAACTAAAGCAACAATCTCCTGCAATAGATGAGCTAATAAGCAACTAGGTACAGCATTTTAGATCAGAAGCCAGCAAGATAAAAAACAGCTGGTCAAAGTTAATCCTTTTGAATGCTCCCTTAATCATATCATTCAAACTCACTAAAAGGCTTCCCAGGTCTATATTGCACATGAGCAAATCATCTGTTCCAGTACAACCACAACATTTCTTATTTGCTATAGTTATTTACTAGTCATTTGACATATCATCATTGGATTTTTAGGCAAGCACATGCATGGGCACACAAAAAAATGAGGAAATTAACCACATACCTTGAGCACAGGGCCAATTTTGAAGGTACCCATTATTTGCTCCTTAGACACCAGACACAAAAGCGGAATAAGAGCAAATGGGATCTGAATTGACTGAAGCACATTTAACCATTCATTTAAAACATCTAAGGTGTCCTCAGAGCTGTCAAAGATAAGAGCCACTATCATAGTAGGAATAATTGCACAGCTTCTTGTAATCAAAGCTCTAAGCCATTTTTTCAGCCTCATGTTCAGGAAACCTCCCATGATGAACTGGCCAGCATAAGTTCCAGTGATAGTGCTACTCTGTCCTGCTGCTAATAACCCAATACCCCATATGTATAAAATTGGAAAAAGCCCACCTCCATATTTTTCTTGAAGATACTGCCCTGCATTAAGAAGGCCAATGCTATCGGCTATATCTGTACCATAAAACCCCTTGGCAAACACAGCTGTGACAAACAGATTGATAATAAATGACAACACAAGCGCAAGAGTGGACTCTATGGAGTAGTAATTGACAGCTTCTTGGACACGTCCTTTCTTGCTGCGATCAATTTCCCGTGATTGCACAAGAGCAGAGTGCAAGAACACATTGTGAGGCATAATAATGCAACCCACAACTCCCACAGCCTGTTGTATGGTTCTGGAGCTGAGTTTTGGAATCAAAATACCTGCAAAATTAAACACACTTAATTGTTAGTCAAAATGCAAGATCGCATAATAGTTCACACTTCTCAAACATGACCGAGTCATTTAACAAAAAGAAAAACGAACAAAAAAAAAAAAACTCTAAAATGTCATTTCAATGGGGGGAGTTGCTCACCAAGAAGAAGCTCCTCGAAATTGGGTTTTGTTTCACCAAACATCCATGCAAATGAGATTGCCATAATTGCAATTAGAACCGCAAAAAAAGCTTCCAATTTCCTTACCCCATAGTTCTCAAGAAACAGGAAGATAAAACTGTAACAAGCAACAGAACAAAAAGGCATGTTAACCATATAAAAGAAAACCAAAAGTGAGCTTGACTGACATACCGAGCTCCATTAAAAGAAAAAGGAAAGAACTTTAAACCCAAATAAACGGTACATCAAAAAGAACAAAAAAAAAAAGAAAAAAAAAAGTTCCATTAACAATCTGACTAGAACTCTAGAACTCAAATCATGAAATTTGGTACAAAACGTAACCCAAAAAAAAATAAAAATAAAAATCCTCCTTCATCATAGAAAACCCAAAATCAAAACAGAACATAAAAAGATAAAAACCTTACCAGTCACAAGCTGTTATGGTAACACCAGCCCATAAAGGAATGACACCATTGCTGAGAATCTTGATCGCAATAGCACTCCCGATAACTTCCTGAATATCAGCTCCAATTAACGCCACCTCCGCCATAATCCAGAGAACCATCCTAGCCCAGGTCGGATACTCCTCCCTGCACAGCTCAGCCAAGTGGCGACCAGTGGCCACGCCAAGCCGAGCGGACAGCAGCTGAACTAACAGCCCCATAGCCGTAGCCCACATCAGCAGCCACAGCAGCGAGTAGCCGGCAATTGCGCCGGCCTGGAGATCCCCTTCCAGATTTCCAGGATCCAGAAACGCTATACTCATCAAGAATCCAGGTCCGGTAAAAAGCCATAACTTCCTCCAAGAAAACGGCGGAGCGCGAGAGTCATCCAAGTCGGAATCGCCAATCCCGATGATGTGGACCTTTTCAGTCGAGTCATAAGCGGTTTCCTCCTCCTCCTCCTCCAACTCCGAGCCGGATAAGAGTCGCTGCTGGTGCTCTTCCGGCGGCATCGAAGATGGTGCGGTGGATCGACGGTGGAATTTGGATTTGGTGGTGGATTTAGTTGGCTACTATCAAAGACGTAAGCTTAAAGAGAACAACCAGTCCAACTCTCCGGTCATTTCATTTATTCCCTCCTTTTATGCTAAAAGAGTTCTTTATTTTCGGTGGTACAATCTGCTGCGGGTGACTGTATTAAATGATTATTTCAGAACCTAGTTAGAACATGCCACGTCGTAGAAACAAGATAAAGTTAATTCTAGGGATGTTAACCTAGTGTGGTGTGGTGTAGTGTGATTGGAAGGTATGTTCTGTTGGAGTAGATATTTTAATTAGAATATGGATAAATTAATATTAATTTCTTTATATGGGTTTTTATTTAATATATATTTTTAGATGTAATTATTATTTATTTCTTTCATTATTATTTTTTTATCAGATGACAAATGGAATCCAGTTCAATAGGTTGATAGTGCGCCTATCAAAGGTGGTTAACCGTTATTAGCCGGAGAAAGTCAGGTGCTATTTCTTTTATTAATTAGAATTTAACAACAACAAAGTTAGATAATAATTTTATTAGCAATGTTATATGAATTATTTTAATGGTATAATTGATTAAATAATTATTAACTTTTATTATTAATATTAGGTAAATCATTTTAATTAAAAATTGATTAAATAAATGTTAATTTTTATTTTTTAATACTAATTAATGTAAATAAGTATAACAGTTACACACTTAATTTTAAAAAAACTTATTTTCATATACAAAATTTTTATATAGTTCAAATTATATTGAATTATTCAATGTAAACTATTTGATAAGAGGTAGGTTCTTAACGTTGAAGAGCTTCCCCGTCCAATCATCCATTTTGTGTAGGGAACTTTTATATTCCCTTTGATCAAATTTAATTATGTTTCTTTTTAAATAGAAACAATTTGATTTAGTTATTTCACTTTATATTTAAAAAACATAAAAGGTTAATATTTCAATTTTATCTTTATCTTAAGAAAAGATAGAAATGTATTAAAAAAAATTTTTTAATTATAAAAAGGGTAAAAATAAAAAGATAAATTTAAATTATTATAAAAAATAAATTTCTTGATAATTGTGATGAAATAAAATTAACTTTATATAAGTGACTTCACAACCAAAACAACACTAAATTTTACCAATATCTAATTAAAAATAATTACTCTTTTGTCTAAAAATAATTGTTATTTTTTATTTAGAATTTGTTTTAAATTAACTATCATTCTTTATTTTTTTATAGTAAATAAAGATTTTTTTCTTATTGTACTCTATTAGTATCCATTCACTTTAATTACAAAAATCTCATTTTATTTTTTATAAAATATTATAAATAAATATAAATATTGTATCAAATCTTTAACTAAAAAAATAAAACAATATTAGTTATTTTTTGAGACAGAGGGAGTATATATATGTTAAAATTAATGTCAATTTTATTTTTTTTAATTAATGCATTTAGGACACCTCCAATCCAAATGATAATTACCGTAAGGCCACCGAATTTATTCGAACAATTCCAAAACTTTCTGGAGCATCAAAATGCGAGTTGCAAATAAAAAAAATCTGTAATCCTTGTCTTAATCACGTGATTAAACACACAAATCCAAAAGTCCTTTTGTCCACTATAGACAGTGGACCACATTCCTCCGAGTTATTTTGGTAAAGAGAAAAGTGAAAGTTAGATAATGGGAAAATGGCATCGGGGAGCGTTTTCACGAACTGGCATGATTTCAAATTGGGCCGTGGCAAAACGACGGAGCAATCGTTGTGGTGATGACCGTATTTTGCGCCCAGTTGGAAATGACGAGGAAAGGGTAGTGCGGGACAACGACGAGCCTACGTTTCTGTCGTGGAAGGCTCGTGCTGGCACGGGTGCATGTGCTCCCCGCTCGTGACAAATGTTAATTTGCGCAATCTTTAATTAATATTCCTTTTTCGGGTGACATTCTTTGAGTCAAATATGGTTGCTATAACACACATTTTATTTTAGACATTCAAGGTGTCTTCATTAAAGTCTAGAACAATTCTTTTAGATGAACATATGTTTCTTGATTTAAGTTTTCGGAATCGAATATTTAAGTCCAATTGTTTGATTTCAAATTTTAATTGCTTGAGTGAAATGGACGGAGTTTTGAATTTCACCACTGTTATGAACTCCACTAAAAAGCGATTTAATGATCGCGTACTCGTTTGAAGGGATGAAATGTTCACTCAGTTTGAGAACCAGTTACTAATAACTAATTCATATTAATTTGTTAATCATTACCCTTATAAAAAAAAAAGTTTTCAAAAAATTATTGTACAGAGGATGGATTATATGTAATTTATTTTATAAAATTATATAAATATTTTTATTTTTATTTTATATTAATTTATTAAAAATATTTAAATAATTTTATAAAATAAACTATATACAATTTGTTTTAAAAAATAATTTTAATTAAATTTTTTAAAAATAAATTTAAAAGTGTACTCTCATGTGAGAATAGTATCTGTATTAAAAAAATAGATTTTTTAAAATACTAACTCAAACTCCTGAGCTAGTTTACAAAGGAAATTTGCTTATTAAAAAATTGAGTCCTCCAGGAAAGAAAACTTTAATGGTAGTAGTAAAAAAAGATGTTTTTTAATTTATATTTAAGAATATAATTAATATATTTTTAAAATTTAATTGATAATTAAAATGATAAAAATTATTATTTATTTCATTATAAATGTTATATGAATCATTTTAATTAAATAAAATTTAACTTTTATATTTGTAATAATAATTAATAAAAAAAATACTTTTAAACTTTGTCTATAAAAATATAAGTTGAAAAATCCTTATAATTTCTTTCATTTCAAACTAGTTTTCAAAAGGGGAAAGAAAAGCTCCCAAAGTTCCAAGACCCCCTACAACTAACAAGGCTTAATGGCCTTAAAAAGAAGAGCCATTATTATCCGTCTACTTTAAAAAAATTCATATAAATCCCTCAACTTTCAAAAAAGAGCCAACCGTCGTCCTTCCGTCAACG